CAGGTTAGGGCTTCTCTCCGGGTATCGCCGTCCAGGGGCAAGGATGCGTGGGATGCGCGAAACAATGGGCATTATCTCGGTGAACAGGGGGTGGCGAGAGGGACCCGGGGATTCTGGCAGGGTTCGAGGAGCTATAGGTATGCGGGGATGACTGTCCATAGGTATGCGTGTATTCCTTCGCCTCCCGCCCCTCTGTCTCCGTTTCCGCCCCCTCCCTCTCGCTCCCGTTTCCTTCCTTCCTTCCTCCTGCCCCCAGACCACCCTCTTCCCAGGGACGGTGGGGAGGGCTGGCATTTAATCACTGGAGCCCGCTGCTGGTAATTCTGTCGGACAATGGCTGTTGACCTGCGTAGCTGGGGATGGCGTGCCGGTCACCCTTTCACGCTGATACACGTGGATACGTTCCTCTTTGTCGGCTAACCGGCGTTTCGTCTTCTTTCTGCTCCGGAAAATTGCGATGGGAGACAGCTCGGTGGCAGGGACGTTGTGACAGTTTAGTGATGATTAAATTTAGGAGACGGACGATAGTAATTAAGGGATTGAGGGGAAACAGAATTTTAACCCCTTGACCTTTCTCAACTCTGATCGATACTGCTATTTTGTCAATAATTTATTGGAAAAAGAGAAAAGTTCTAAGCATGTGTTATGCCTATATTTCGTTTTAAGTGTAATAATCGATTACAAAGTAAATATTGGAACACAAGAATAACATTTATATGTGCCTAACATATGCTTAGAATTTGTCTCTTTTCTATATATTTGTTGAATCATGTTGAAAATCTTCACGAGTCTCACTCGTTGTAGGGCAAGAGGTTAATCTGTACAAATAATTTAATACTTGCAGTGTTTGATTAGCTTTAGACCTCTATATATATCGAATAAATGATTCGAGATAAATACATCTTTCTAACATGAACGTCGCACCATCCTTCGATTCGCGAGACCGATTCCACCCCGTATAAATTTCAATTGCAGATAGATTGAAATTACGAGTTCTTGGTAATTAAATACCCGGGACCCCAGAAATCAATTCAAAGACCGCGAATGATGCATGTCCCGAAAAACTCGGCGTCAAGGGATTAATACCCGCATATCCCCGAAAGTAACGCGCGGCCGACTACACGCACGCCCGCCCCGTTGCGAGCCGCGTCCCCATGCGAAATCGACAGAGCCGCCCTTCATAATCGTTCGCAAAGCCGGGCCGCGATGATCCCGTGCTATCGGCGGCCGGCAAAATCGGGGAAAGCAGCGATTTCAGAATCGCGGCCCGATAACGTCGTCGTAACGACGCGGTTATTGGCCGCGGCCGCCGTATATGCATAATCCACGTCAGAGTCGCATAAATTCCGGCTCGAGAACCGTATTAATTTCCCGGCTAATCGCGATTGGGATCTACAGGCAATTACGAGAAGGATAGGCCAATCAGATTGGCGTCGGCCGCCGCGTCGCTCGCTTCCGGAAGCTTCGTTCGCCGGCCGGCGCGCGTGTGCGCTCCGTGCCGCGCGCACGCAACCCCCGCCGTGTCCAGCCACGCCGCGGACAAAACGGTCGAGGGTGCCTTTATGAATTGTCCGGCCCCGATATCGCGATCGAACGTGGAAATCGATCTCTCGGCCAGCTTCCGTACCGGCAAGTCGTCGATTCCCGTGGAAATAAATTGCTCGAGCAATTGACCAGCCCGTAACTGCTGCAATTGCTCAAACCGCGTATGAGTAATGCGTTGATGAGCATCGGACGGCAACGCTCCCAGCTCGTACGTTGTAACTTCCTGTAATCGTTAATCGCGTTTGTTCGGCCGGTCGGCTGCCGCTTGCGTTCCTACCGGCGAGGATCGATCGGATCTTCTCGTACTCTTTGTAATTACGAGATTACTTGTTCCGCGAGTTGCTTGGATACGAAAGTTATGAAAATATCTGTTTGTTTATGGAAGATTGAATAGATTAGATTCGATTGGATGGAGTTTGAAAGGCGCGGTGATGTTAATGAAAAGTGTATATAGAGATATTTCTAAATATGAGATAGAAACGAGTTCTATAGAATATCAATAATAATTCTTTTTACTAGATTTTCATATATATTAAATCCATCTCGTACATTACAAGGCATACTTTCCCATTTCTACGCTAATCAGGCTTCAGACCTGACGTTTGATCCGTTTTTCCCTAGAATTCGAGATTACGGTTGAATGCGGAAGTTATCCGGGAACGTGCTGAAAATCGGCTCAATCGTAGTTTCGCGAGGAATTATTTCGGCCTCGGTGAACGCGGGACAAAGTTTGCGGGAACAGGGCGAGAAAGAGTTGCGATTCAATTACTGAATAAAGAGAACAAGCGTAGAATTACACGGCGGCGGCGGCGGCGGCGGCGGCGGCGGCGGAGAGTGTATGCGCTAGACAGGAGCCGCACGAGAGAAAAACGAACGACAGAACGTCTCTGAAACGGCGTCGAAAGGAGCCCGCGTATTTTCCTGCTGTCCCTACGGTCGGATTTTTGCTGCGCCGCGGAAACAAAAAACGGTGGCCGCATAGTTTCGAAACAATTCCGTCGCGGAATTCCTCGGCATCCGCGACTAAAGGGCAATAAATTTTCCGTGCATTTTACGCGGTGCTCACCGCTCCGTGTACAGTCCCTGGAAAAATCGCGGCGCCGCTGCATTACCGTTGCAATTAATAAATTCATCGGAATGAAATGGATTACCGTGCTCCAGGTAACGTATGTGGGTGCAGCGGAAATTGCGAAGGCCCTTTGGGGACCTACAATCTCATCTCCTATTAGCTTTTATATTTTACTTTATCATCAACCTGTATTAAACAAATTTCCGTTGCACTTTTAATTTAAACTTTTATTCTACAGTTGATTTTACAGAAAATTGTATGACGTCGTATGAAAGTGATTAAATAAAATGATTTAAAATTTGATTTCAAATGATCTATTAGGTTGGGATATATTAACCCCTTGCCGTACAATGACGAGCAAGACTCGCGATGAATATTTCTAGACTAATTTAACAGCAAGCAACTTTGCTATTATCAATGTATTATCTCCAAATGAAATTTCCGCTTAAAGTAGAATGGACAATTTTGCTGCTTTTCCTTTAAATTGTCGATAGTCGAATATCACACGAGATTAATTGCGAAAGTAAATAGTACGTCAAGGAGTTAAAGCGAATAGATGAATGAAGTATGCATCGATTATGATGATAGAGTAGTATGGTGTGTATTGTTTATGGTGATACACCTTTCAAACTTATTTCTCAGGTTAAGACAGTTCTAAGAGCAGTAAAGCACTCGCGTTGCGTAAATATTCATCCCATCAAATCCCGCGGGGGACACTCCTCCGACATCTTCAATTCCATCGCCTCGGCTAGAACCTCGTCAAAATCTAAACACAGCCCCAATCTGCATACATTTTCTTGGTGTACGCGCGGCGACACCCCTGCCGGTCGCCATAAACCAATCCCGGCGTCTCTGGCCCCTGCCGCTCTGCCGGGTGACTTTACAAATTGCGATGCAGCCGGTTACAAGTCACCGAACGGACGTAAATAGCGTGCGAGGCGCGCGCCGGAACAGTCGAGCGTTAAGGCTAGTTCAGACTGAGAAGACAATCGTAAGCGGACACGTGTCTGCGGACTGTCTACCGACCAGAGACAAAACACGTCTTAAAACAAGTCTTAAAAGTGCGCGTAGGACAAATTTTTGCCCGGTCTTTCGTTTATTTCCGTTCTAACGGAAGACAAAATACGGGACAAAAATTTGTCTACCGCCTATTTCGGGACTCGCACTTTGTCCTCATCTCCGTGTTTATTTTACGAATGAATCGAGTTCGATTAAACTCAACTGAGGGTTAAATCAAAGTTCAACTCATCTAAGATTCGGCTTAAAGTTCAACTAAAGTAAAAGTCTATTCAAAGTTCAACTCATCTAAGACTCAACTTAAAGTTCAATTCAAGTAAAAGTCTATTCAA